AGGTTGCCCAGGACCGTGCCTAGACGGGCTTTGAATATCTCCACAGATGTAGAGTTCACAGCCTCTCTGGGCAACCTGTTCCCATGTTCCACCATCCTGACAGTAAACAGCGTTTTCTTATGTTCGGATGGAATTTCTTGTGTTTCAAAGGTACCTGGTAACAATTGTCATGTCAAGACTGTCTTCTGTCAAGAGGGTCTAAGAGAAGGCAGACAGCACGCAGTTACACGCAGGGTTAAATTTTCTGGTCTTATAATTATTTGTGGAAATTTTGTTTGTCTTCTTTTGCACACTTTTAATGAATAAGCAGCTGACTCATATTTCCCCATGGCAAACAGTTCTGCTTTTTTACTGTTCACTGATATTGCTAAATAATACCGCGTATCCAGCATCTTCAAGAATTTGACGATAGGCAGATGTAGTGTAAGGGGTAAGCTCTTAAAACAGGACAGCGGGTAATCTATAACTGTGCGCTGCGTGTACCCAAACCACCTCCCAAAGGCTACATCCCTCTGTGAAATTGGATGCTACAGCAGAGGAACGTTTGCTCTGGTTTTCAGGGGGCCACATCATCGGTGGGCAGGTAGAATGCTCCCGATCAGCGTTGCTCTTTTGCACCTCAGAGGCCTATTACCTGCTTTCCCTTCCCGCCCTAACACTTACCGATGTAATCAGCAGAAAGCATATGAAATTAAGATATAAAATCCTTACTGTGAAACAGCTTTGTTGCACACAATGTATCTGATCCAAATGTGAAGAAAAGTTAATCTGCTTACACAGTCCCTGCTTCACTTGCATATTCAAAACTCCCGATTGGTACAATAAGGCTTTTTCTTTATTAAATCATCACTTTGGGAAATTCTAACTTAACAGGGAAGATGAACGCAACAAGTTTTATCTGCTCATTTCTCCTTTATAGCAAGGAAGTTCATCATCTTTTAGGGTAAAGCAAAGTTTAACTTGCAGAGAGGATGAATTTCCAGCTGCCCCAAACTTTGTTCCACGTATCTCCTGGTCGTCTCTGCTCCAGCTCTATTTCCCATTGTTAAATACATACAAATATCTATTGTAGAATACTCAGTACAAAATATGCCCAATTAGTAACTTCATTGTAATTCTTAAACCTAAACTTGAAACTAAATTGGCCATAATCAGTCATCATACAAACAAGTAGCTCCAGAAGTCTTGCTAAACACACCGCTCTTTATACCTGGTGTAGATGGGGTCTTTTCATTTTTATTTTCTTTTTTTCCTCCATCATTCAATTTTTACCCTATCTGTTCAAAGTCAATGAAGAAATAAAAACTTGCCTAAGCTTTATTAGTAGGATTAACAATGGGCCCAGTTACAGCAGATAACTCAAAGATTTTGAGTTGAATCCTCCTCTGATATGTGGGGCCACTTACTAGCCAAGTGACAGTTCATCTGACTGAAGAGCTATATATTAAATATATACATATCGACTGAGAACATTTCTAAAAATTCTTCTGTCTTAGGCACAGGCAAGCTTTTTTTCAATAATTGCTTGCTGATTTTTAACTTGCAATGTTTCAATAATTTCACTTACATCCATTGCAAGAAAGCTTAATTTTTGAATGTCTGCTTATGTGGGAGTCGCGCTCCCACACATCCAAATACGCTTACCTTGGCACAGTTTGTACACTCTGCCTCAAATATTAGAAATTGCAGTATCAGGTGCATCACCATGAACACATTGTGATGAAGCAGTATTACCAATTTCCTAGGAGTTCAAGCATGCATTATTATGCTTATTATTATTGCTTTGGAGGCAACTGCTTGTGGCATAATTCCTTGTAAACAACTCATTTGCATTTAAAGCAATTGCTTAAGAAAAGGCACCTCGCAGGTCTCAAAACATCTCTCAAAGATCATTCACCAATATTCACCAATATCTTTGATATTCACAAAATACAATGCTGTTCAGAAATGCAAACGTTCCTTTAAAAAAGACAAAAAAACCCAAACCAAAACAAAAAACACCACCACCCAAAAAAGACAAAAAAACCCAAACCAAAACAAAAAACACCACCACCCAAAAAAGACAAAAAAACCCAAACCAAAACAAAAAACACCACCACCAAAAAGCTCTTAAGCATTCTCATCTGCTGGCCTGCATAGAAAAGATTAAAACTTGGACTCCAAGATGTTACACTTTATTCTGCCAAGGTACCAAGTAGCAAAAAAATCACACTACTCATTTTATATTAACAATTGGATAGGAAGCCTACCTTTTTAGTTCTTTTTCCCACTCAGTTCTCGGACAGATTTTTAGGCATCTTGCTTCCCCCCCTGTAGCAGACAGCATTTATTAACATCTCCCATCCCAGACATCCCAGTCCTTTGGACTCTCTCTCCTCTCTAAAGCTGTTTCTCGTCTCCACTGAATGACAAGTATGACCCATGTCAAACTCCCACTTTCAAATAAACTTACAGTGTGTGACTTACGAAAACTCAGTTGAGGCTTTTCACAATTTACATACAAACAAATATTTAAATATCAGGACCTGAAAAATCACAGGCTAGCACTGAATATCGTATTTACATGTTTATAGTCTACCTTGCTATGATTTAGGCATTTAATCAAAAACCTGAAATGTTAACATTTTACAAAGTACCAAAAAGTTGCATTCATATAGCAATATAAAGGGCAAATCAGTAAACTTCTCATTTTTACTTTGCTGAAAAAAATTAAGACCAAATCCAAAGGAAAATAAAATCCACTGCAAACCCATTTCAACCACAGTCACAAAAGACTTTGCTGCTGGTCTCTCAATAGACAGGGAGTATAAAGTCCACAGTAGCACATAAAGGCTAATGGCAGCCTACAATCTAATTAGCCCTTATTATAATACTGTCCAGAGATTCAACAGATACTTCTTTAGAAAGGACACAGGCACAAAGAACCCACCCACAAAGGAGTTACGTTTCCTTTCAAAGGTCTAGAAATGTGTAATAAAGAAGAGTCTTTGACCAGGAAGAAGCTTGGCAGAGCCTGGCATTAGCCTGCCTTGAGATTTTCTTGACTGAAAGAAAAAACATGGGGAACAAGAGTGTTTATACATTCAGCTTCATTTAGGTTTTCACCTTGGCTTACAAGGCTGAGTGAAAGTTTTTCTTTGTATGAAGTTAGGTTTTTCTGTAGGCTTTGCTGAGATTTCTATGGAAGAGTGGAGAGCAGAACTGAAGAGCATTCAGATGGAGCTCCAAAAAGCCTGGGCAGTTTTTCTGTAAGTTTTGAGGATGCTGTAACCCTGGAGGATGTTTAAATACACGTGACTAAAAGGCAAACAGAGAATGGCGGTTATCAAGTTATGTCCAGTGAGTATTAATGTCTGTGATGCCGTATTAGTGACATAGAAGTGACCCAAGGATTGAGTTCCTCTACACCATAGGAGGAGGTGCAGTTAGAAAAGTAGGGGACAGACTGCCTAAGGCTTAGACAGCCCTAAACTCTTCCTGTCCGAGGCTGATCACAAGACACAAGGGTGTGCATGGGTATGCAATCAGTCATGCTGTGGAGCACGGCACAGAGTAACTTGCCTTTGAGAGCTTACAAAGCTCAAGTCCAGCGAGACTTGCACACTAAAGGTGCCTCTACAGTGGCACTGTCGTTCAAATGAAGAGTAAATCTCCTGATCATCTGGACTTACGCTGAGCTTTGGTTTATAACTGGACAGTTTCAGAAAGCAAGCTGGATTCCTTTTGAAAAAAAAAAACAAACCAGAAGATGTGCTCCAGGGGTTCACTTAATGCTCTCCAGCCGTTAATGAATGAATATTCAATCCACAGCTCCAGATAAGAACTAGTCTGAAGTGAAACCTCCTCCGATACATACAGTACAGACATCAGGTCCTCAGCAGCAACTGTGCTGCTCTACACATCCACTTGTATTGGGGCACACCGCTAACATTATTAGTCTGCTCTCCCGTTGTATTGCAGACCATTACGCTTCACCCAGATACCTCTCACACTGAACCTTGAGACTTCAATGAGACCAAACCCTTTTAGCCTGTAAGAGTAAAATACACGCCCCAAACAACAGAAGGGTCTGATGGCCCAATGTGATTGCTGGGGCTGTGAACCCGGGTAAGATAAGGTAAAATAACCTAAAGGATCCAGCGGCAAATTCATGCACCGTGCTTCTGGAGGATTCTTTGTCCGTGCCTGACATACAATTCCTCTGCATAAAGCAGAGATCTTAACCTGTGTTAATTTCACCCAGGATAGCTGCCAGCATGTGTTCTCCTAAACAGCCTTTCATTTTTGCTGAACTTGAGCACAGTGAATACGAGATTAAGAGGCTTTGACTCTATGTAATGGAATAAAAGTAGGGAACACATTGCACAGTCATTGATTCTTTCTGCCTTCCAGTAGCATAACTATGATGAAGCACCTTATTGTTCAAATATTTATTTCAGAAGACAGATATAGGGAGATGGTGTTTATAGAAGTGTTTTTTCTATCCAAGCCCAGACACCACTGCTGGTGGTTTTTTCCCTTTAAAGTAACTTTTCCAGATGGTGGAGCAATTTAATATTTACCCTGCAATCAAGCACTGTAAGACTCTTTCCTTTTCAGGGTGTAGAAGTCCAAGCACAAGACCCCCTCAATTGCTCCTAGCATCAAGGATCCCTTTGGTGATCAAACCTCTGCTGACAGAAACGGTCATTCATTGCCTTTAAAACAAAGGCTGGTATAAATACTGATCCCTCAGCTCATGCCAGTGCTCACCTACCCAAGCATCATCATCTTTCACTTGATTTTCCTCGCATGACATTTTTTTTTTTAGTGTCCTGCCGCTTATTTTATATTCTCCTGGACTAAAGGAAGAAGATTTGGTCTCAGGGCCTCCTCAGAGCCAGCATGACCAGTGTGGAGATCCACGTCTTTCCTGTCACCAAGACCAGCTGCTTCTGCTAGCCACTGTATTTTGTGCCCCCTCAGAGATCAGGAAGCCACCACCCGTCAGAGCTGAGGGCATGAACCTTCACGATGACTTTCTGGTCCCCAGGACAGTATTGCCAAGAGGTTAGTTATAACCAAGAACACTGTTGCTGCCATTAGGTCCACCGCTAAGAAGGTATCCTTATAATGCTGATACTCCACCCAACGTCTTAATCGAGGGATAATGAGGTCTCGGTCTTGCAGTGGTTGCAGGTATTGGAAAGCGCACCTCTGCCAGTTGTGTGTGCGTGCGAGGCATGGAAACACCGAGGGCTTGACTCTGCCTCAGAAACACGGACGCAACGACAAAGGCTCTCCGCGCCGGGGCAGCTGCACGCACCGCCCCTACGGTACCCGTGGCACACGGCTACGCGCGGCACGCGGCGCAGGGCCAGGGCAGCCC